TTGCTCATCTCAGCCAGATGGTTCTTGAATGTCTATCTTTGGTCATAAAGGAACTGGGAGAAATATTATAGATGTGTTAAGGAAGAGAGCAGATTGCTTACTGTGCCCATTCCCTGGACACATATGAGGTTGCCCTCAGGAGCCTGCCCTGGGAACGTCTAGCAGGCAGCTGCAGATATCGATGTTCTTTCTTGGGGATTCTTCCAGACCAGGTCTAATTTATCTGCTCTGCAGTTTTTCACCCATGTTTTCCAATTTCTGGTCCTCAAACCTCTCACTTCTGGGGAAAGAGGGGCTCTAACATGGATTCGAATGCCCATTTTCATAATGTAGTATTCACAATAGCCAAGAGGCAGAAGCCACCCAAGCATCTGTCAACGGAGGGATAGGCAAGCAAAACTCCTCATGGACACGCTGAACATCATTCAGACTTTCAAAAGGGAGGGCATTCTGATATGGCGAACCTGGAGGGCAGTAGGCTAAGTGAGATAAGCTAGGCACAAAGGAGCAAATAGCATATGACCCACTTGCATGGCGTCTCAAGAGTCAAATGCATAGAGACAGGTCACAGAAGCACAATTGCCCAGGGCTGGGAGGGAGGGGAGGATGGGGGATGGTGTCTAACGAGTAAGGAGTGTCAGCTGGGGAGAATGAACTAGTTCTAGAGATGGGTGCATAGCAATTACATACTCAAGGCCCCTGAACCGTGCACTTAGAGTAGTTAAAATGGCTAATTCAACGCCACGTACATTTTATTACAATAATAGTTTTCTTAAAATATTTTTTTAGTTGTAGATAGACACAATATATTTATTTATTTTTATGTGGTGCTGAGGATCGAACCCAGGGCCTCACATGTGTGAGGCGTGTGCTCTACTGAGCCCCAGCCCCCTGCCCTACAATAATAGTTTTTTAAAACCCCCACTCCCACCCATTTGGCTCTGCAGTTCAGCTTACGCCCTTTGTCTTGCTCTTGCCAATCCATTCTTCTTCTTGGTTGGGGTCCCACATTTGGATAGAACTTTAGGCATGAATCTCAGCCCACCTCCAGGCCCCAGCTATGCTCTCTGATGGGTTGGAGTGTCCTGTTTTCTGACAGTCCCCAGCTGCCCTGTGAGAAGTCCATCACGTGGAGATGTGTCAGGGCTTGGCTCTTGGTCCTAGATGAGCCCATTTTTCCCACAGTCCCCACCAAAGCCCTAGATGTGTAGGAAGCCATTTCGGAGCCTGTCATCTGTCACCTGCACACCCTGGGTGGCCTCCGTCAGTGCCACGTGGACAGGAGATTTGTATAACTGGATGAGCTCTGCCCCAAATCATGCCTCACAGATTGTGAGACCCAGTGGAATGGTGGTTGCTTTAGGAAGCTGCCAAGTTTGGGGCGTTTTGTTACAATAGATAGCTTTCGCCACACTGTAGCCTCAGAACTTCCAATACAGAAACCAACAGCTTAATTTTCTTTTCTGCCTTGGGACATGTCTTAAAAATCAGCATTAATGATGTTTGAATTAGCATTTTAATGTCTTGTTTTGCTGTTGGCCTTGACTGTTTTCTCCCCACAAATGTGTGAACTTTGAAGGACTGTCCCTTGACACCTGCTATGCCCAAGCTGTCCATGTACTCCCCAGGGATCCTGCTCCATTACCATGTCCGTGGCTGTCCCAGGAGGGGAGTGGATGGGCAAAGGGATCCTTCAGCAGGCTTTCAAGGCAGTTTTGCTTTGGGGGAGTGCCGCAGTCCGGCTGCAGCAAAATAACCGGGGTGTGACGAGCAACTTGTGTACATTGATACAGAAGGAGTGGGAGCCGTTTATTGTAGGACAGGAGGGGTATATATACATTACATACAGCTTATCTTAATTAACATAAACTAGATACAGCAGTCAACCAATAAGGAATCTCCACACTTAATGGCTCACTGGCGTTACTTCACAAACCACTCCCTCTGGCAAAATGTCAGGCGCCATCTTGACTTGTTTACAGACCCTAACAGGGGAGCACCTGCCAATGTTTCAGCTAAGGAGCTGATCAACCAGGGAAGTTCTTCTGTCCCGGGAAGCTGCCCTATGTCTCTCATCAGACCTCCTCGAGTGGACTTGAGTGATCTTTGTTGCAAGATGGAATCAAAATCCTGTCAATTATGCAGGTTTTATCCTGACAGGCACCAGAAAAGTTCTTTGCTGTTGCTTTGTTTAATCCACATAATGCGTCCATATGCTGAAGGGAAATGGCAAAGTATAGCATCCCCATCCGCCCTTCGACCTGCTGCTCAGGGACAATCACTTTGCTTTTGCTTGTTCAAAACAAGCCTTTGCTTGTTCAGTTCTCCCACTATTGGTGTCCTTCACTTTAAACATTCTGCCTAGAATTCCAAAGCGGTTGACCTTTGACAGAACCTGTTGGCTCCTAGGTGTCGCAGAGGGTAATTTTTCCACTTATGCTCTCTCTTATCTCCTTCTCTTAATCCTGTTTACACATTTGTGACTTGCAGGAATTTTGCTGGTTTACATGAATACCCATGAACCTCTGGTCCTCGTTCCATCTGCTTTAGACAGCATCCACTTCCTCCTGGTGTGAGAAGAGCTCTCAGCTCATCTCTCAGCTCCAGTTTTAGTTCTAGCTTGATACTGTAAGGGTCCCGCGAAACGTCGGAGAAAGAGACCACCAAGTGACCACTCATGCAATTGGCAGAAGGGGGATTTATTGAACCAGCATGCTGGGGCTCCGTGCCCACTCAAGAAGGGAAAGCAGCCCAGAGCCCCGAGCAGGGGCTGAGCACTGCTTAAGAACACTTTTTTTGGGAGGGCGGGGATTTTACATACATCACAGTCTCCTTTAACAAATCATCATACACCACGGGAAAATCAAGCAACAACTCCTAAACATGATTAGTTCATTCATTGGCGGGAACAGGTCGGGCGGGGGTGATAGGTCAGTTCTAAACGGGGTACGCATTCAAACTGATTGGTTTTAGGGCCTAAAGGACTACGTGACCAGTTACATAGAGCCCTTCAGTTATTAAACAACCAAGTAGTCAGGGGAAATATTTACTGGGCAGTTCTAAGCATTGTCTTAACAGCTACAGAAATTTCAGGTTTTGCAGGTAGCATAGAAACCTAACAATACCTAATCCTTTACACTTTAACTCAGACCTTGCAGCTTAGAAACTTTACAACGCCCGGTCTTTTACCCTTTAACCTTTATGCTTTAACTTCAATTTCTTTTACCCTTACAATACTACTCATTAGAGCATCCCCAGGACTGAGAAAGGTAGCCACACCCAGTAGGTGCAAGGCAAATGGCATCTGAGCGCATGAATAAATTGTCAAGAGCTTTCACATTTACATTTTGTTCCATAAACCACAATTAATATTTTTATCTTTTGTACTTTGCTTCTAGTTGATTCAAAAAGAAACATTTATAATATGGTTATATAATTGTTACTCACTGTAGAAATAAATAGTGTAATTGAACCCATAGAGAAAGCAATGTATTTTATGTCACTAATCCTGTGCCTCAAAGTGGAATGGTTCAGAATCTCAAGGTCAACTGGATTTTGTGTTCTAACATTCTGGTTTACTAAGTTTAATAAAATCTAGCTGCTATAACAAACAGCTCCCAGATCTCAATGGCTTAACGCAAACTATCTCTCTCTCTCACTGGAATCCAGAATCGCTCTTCTTGGCTGGTTTGTTCCCTATGGGGACTCTTCTTCCAGCAATGACTTAAGAGTTTCTGCTCTTTCCATTTTGTTGTAACATCAACTTCCAGAGCATCAGAGCCCTTCAATTTTGCTCCTCAGAGGGAAGAAAGAATTTAAGGGAAGCTCATGGGCAAGCCTGGAAATGGTGCTTCTACCACATTCCACTGGCTAAGAACTCCATCGTTTGTTCCACTGACATGCTGTGGGGTGAGGAGCGGTTTGTGATTCAAGCATGAAGCATAGCTAAACGCTGAAGAAGGGAAAGGGAACCTAAGGGTGAACACCAGTACTCTCCATGACATTCTCCAGCATACTCAGAAGCACACCATATTGTAGTTGGCTTTGTACATATATACCACCCGTCCTTTGAGTTAGACGTGACTATGTGACTTGCTTTGATTAATGAAAGGGAGCCACTGGCTGCTGCAGGGTGGCCCTCTTGTTCTCCTGGGCACATAGCTGGTAATGTTTCACTACCAGCTAACCTGTCACCCTGAGTGCCCGGCCAGGAATGGTGCAGAGTGGAGCTCTCAGATCACCATCCATGGGGACAAAACACTGGGATCTGGGCTTATGTTATGATAGCAGACTCTAGCCTGACCTGAGAGATAACCCCCCACCCTTACTTCTGATTCTTCCTCCTGCCCGCCTTGTGTCTCTAGCCTTGGCGGAGTCCCTCTCCAGCATCTCCACCTCACTTCTCATGCAAGTTTTGGAAGATCGCTTCCTCTACTGTTTTATTATTTTTCTTTTTCTGTTAAAATGTCTCGTTTTCCACATTCCAGAATTTGTTTTAAAACTGCTTAACTGATAGCCAGCTTCTCCCATTTGTTGTACTATTTCAGGTTTATTCTATTTGTATCTTTTTTTCTCCATCAATTAAATGGAGCCTGGAGAAGGAAGAGCAGTAATTATGTATGTCCCATTTGTTCACCATCTTGAGCCTCAAGAAGCAAAGAATTCATTTTTGAAAGTTTTCTTTTTGGGTAACTTACAGCCTTATTTGAGTCCCCACTGAGAATGAGTAGAAAGGGTTTATGGAAGCAGAAAATAACAGGAAGCAATAGATTGTAACTATTGTGCTATTAAGATGTCATTGCAGATGGGAAGACAGCAGAAACTGTAATACAATGCACATATATGTACATAACATATACTTTGAGCCCATGTGTAGATAAGCAGGTGATTTTTATAATTAGTTCATGTAATATTAACTAGCATATAAGTTTGTGAAGGCAGGATTCTGTCCATTTTGTTCATTATTCTAGTGCTTCTTTTTATTTTTATTTATTTATTTTTTGAGGTGCTGAGGATTGAACCCAGGTCTTATGCATGCTAGGCAAATACTCTACCACTGAGCCACTCCCCAGGCCCCCAGTGCTTCTTTTACAAACTAAATGTCCAATCAATATTAACTGAATACACAACACCACACACACACACACACACACACACACACAGAGTTGCTTTTGGCTTATTGCCAAAGAGAGATACATGTAAAGAAATTCAAACCTGTCAGAACATTTGGCTCCTTTCTCTTTTCTTTTTTCCGTGCTGGGTATCAAACCCAGGGCTGCCGGCACACACCTTCCTGCGGAGCTCCACCCCAGCCCCAGCACCTTTAGCTCCCAGCCAGCTTCCCTTTGCTAATGCCAAACCGAAATTGTGAGCTGTTGTTGATGGCATTTTCTCCCGTCCTTTGGACGGCTGTCTTGGTTTCCAAGCTGCTTTACAGTTCCAGTTAATTCTTCTTTTCTATACTGTGTTGTATATTTTCAATTTTACGAGCAGTGATGAGGGCCACAGACAAGTCAAGATGGCTCCTGGCACTTTGCCAAGAGGAGTGGTTTGAGAAGTAATGCCAGCCAGCCATGAAGATGATGGAGATTCCTTAATGATTGACTGCTGTGTCTAGATTATGTCAATCAAGTTAAGCTGTGTGTAATCATTAAGATGATGAGGATTCCTTATTGGTTGACTGCTGTATCTAGTTTATGTTAATTAAGTTAAGCTGTGTGTAATTAGTTGGGTATATATACTTCTCTGTTCCGTAGTAAAGCGGCTCCCGCTGTATCAACCTTCACAAGTTGCTTGTCACCCCACCCCCACCCCCCGGTTATTTTGCCCAGCCAGACTTCGGCAGAGCAGGTTAGAAGATGATTAATAACTATGTTTGCAGTATATAACAGAGGAAAGTGCTGGAACTGTCTTTGCACAGTTATTAATGCTTTAGAATCTTCACAGCAATTTCAAATGTATTATTTTGAGAAGGATACAAAAAGTAGTGGATGTTTGGCTGTGTGCAAGGCACAGGCAGTGTAATGACCAACGGTGCTAGTGATGCCAGTTATCCCCATGTGGGTGACTAATGTTGTTTGGTGACTTTAGATGACTTTAGGTGACTCCTCTAATGGATCTATGTGAGCACATGTTGCTGGTCCTTATTGTTGGGAGCTGAACATTGTAGCTCAGAGGTAGCAAATGTTTCAGATACTAACTGCCATGAAAGAAAAGGATGAAAATTGAGGAAAAGTACAAATGTTTTCTAATATGAATTGCTCTGAAAATACTTGAATTTCTACCCCATGCACTTCATCAAGCAATGTGTGTGTGTTTTCTGACTGTAGCTCCAAGGTGGAACTTGGGTTTTCCGCCTCAGGCACAAGTCTCAGTCTTTCTGAAGCTGGGATGTCCCTCTGGGACTTCTGGATGCCAGAGAAGAGAGAGAATTGAAAGGGCCTGTTAAGTCCTTGAGTTCCTGCTGAAACTCCACAATGCCGCAGGGGTTCACTGAATCCCTTTCTAAGGGCTGAAGCAGCTGAGCAAAAGCTACAGCTTCATTGTAAACGGGTGGGGAGAGAGCACGGCTTGAGGTGGCAGGGAGAAGCTTGTGGGATGCCCCCGTCCTCCTCCATCCTCTCCTTCTTTACAAGCCTCACCTCAGCTTCAGGACAGAGGCTGCTAAAAGGGCTGCGGAGGGCTGAGGGACCAGGGCAGAGGGGGCAGAGGGGGCGGGCCTTGGTTCTTACGCACAGGACTTTGGTTCTTCCTCCTCTCTCTACTCCTTTTTTTCTGGTCCATTTTGTTTTCCTGTCTCTTGAAAGTACAGCCACAGGACTGTAACTCAGCATCAAAAATCCAGTTGCAGAAAATCAATTTGTCTATGCAAAATAGGTCTACAAAATGAATAGGAGGCCCCGCCTCTCACCAGCTGAGGCCTGTATGCTGGGAAGGTGGAAGTGCTGCGGGGGTGCGGGCAGCGTCCATCCTGTGGTTATCTTCATCCTGAAGCAAGTGGCCGAGGCAGACAGAACAACTCGACCCAGCCAATCAGCCCTGGAGAGGCCCTTGTCGGGATCAGGAACCCACAAGGTGGAGAGAGAACACTGCAAATGGAGAGCGTGCGTGCCCAGCCACCACCGCCAAGACGCCAAGAAGAGGCAGCACCAGGCTGAAGTGCAGGCGTTTGGGGATAATAGTTCTAAAAAACGGTATAATCTGGAGTTGGAAAATGACTAGATGCCTGAAATGAATACTGATGAGCTGAAGAGCGTGGCAGAGGGACAGCAGCAGCCCACTAGTGGGCAGACGGGGGAAGTTGGCTAATTCTATGTTGGGGACCTATTTTAAATAAGTTCAAAAACAATGTCTCACGTGATGTCATCACAGTCCTAAAATGTAGGCAGGGAATCGTTGCCACCCTCGTATGACAAGTAGATCAGTCTGTCTGTCTGTCTGTGGTCCCACAGGCTCCCCCTCACCTGGGCTGGGAACCTGCTCCTTTCTGAGCCACTTGGATTCTGGGTCTGGCATTTCTGGGTGTGATCTCCCATGTCTTTTGTGACACCAGGCTCCTCTTCCCTGTTGTCACCACTTTCTCCCCAGCTCAGACTCCTGTGACTTGGTTTCTGGTTAACTGTCCTCCTAGCTGAGGCCTCACTCTTTGGGGCTTCTTCAGTCCCAGCTCTGTGCTGCTGAGATGTCATCCTAGGCCCTGTCATGCGCGACACACAGTAGGTGTGGATGAAACCCTGGGTGAAGAGGATCACTGTCACATTAGGCTCAACTCTCTGGCCTGCCTCACCCACTTCTCCACCCACTCCTGACCTCGGGTCTCACCAGCCAGGAGGCAAGTGTCCACCCTCCCCACAGCTTGCTCATCACCAGGGCCACACTTTCCTCTTTCCTGATCCACAGCTTCCTGACAGCCTAAGGCTAGCCCAGCTTCTGCCCTCCCAGGCTGCCCCACGTCCTGAAGATTTTACTTTTTCCTCATTCTTGACGTCAACCTCTTGTAAACCGTCACCTGGGCCCCCTATGCTGTTGGTTTTAATTCGGCGACACCAACCGGATGCTAAACTGCTGAGGGAAGAAGCAGCCTCCTCCCTTCCCAAGCCTCTCATTTGGAGCTGGGCTGTAGCAAATGCCCAGCCCTGCTCTGCCAGATGACCAGGACCCAAGTCTCCAATTCTCTCTCTGTTAAACCATTGTTCTAGAGTCACTGCACTGATGTCCTAATTCTGTGACAGTTTCTATGTTTGTCCAGACAACATGACAGGTTCATTAGTCAGAGAAAGTCAGCGCTACATCTTCTTGCTGGAAACAAAATAAAGCCAATGTGGTTTTAGTTGTTTTTATAACCAATTTGACCACATTTGCAATCACTTCATATACAGACAAAGATTTGAGGTGTTTTTTTTTTTTTTTTTTAATAGGATTGATAAATCGAAAACTGTCTTCTGGCTCTGATTATGGTTGGAAGCATTTAAATGTTGATATTGTCTTCCTTCTGGTTATGATTGTCTGAAAGTTGAGGCAGTCTGGTCTGGCTCGTAATTCATGTTGTAGTGTGTGTGGAGTATTTTGGAATGCTTGTGGAGTCATGCAGTTCCATATTTAGTTCCTTGGTATATAAATAGAGCCTAATCTGGAAAGTAATTTTAATTGGGTGACTAATCTAACAGGGGTAAAACGGCTTCTCACTCACCAAGCTGATTTGTCACCTTGCAGCCGGCCGAGCACCACAATGCTCTTGGTCTCACTGGTTTCCACCACTGGGCCCAGGTGGTTCTCCTGAAGGCCCAACCCAGCTTTGATTTCCTGATGAACCCACCCAGGGCGGGTGGACCAAGGCTGTACTAAGATGCATGCTCTCTAAGATGACACAGGAGGAGGCCCCAGGGCTCCAGGGAAACCTAGTGTCCACAGGTAGCAGTTCTTTCCTGGACCTAACCTTCTCCTGATGTTAGAAAGTATCATGCAGTAGGTTTGACTTTTCCAAGTCCTGGCCTTCCCCAGACGGTGGTCCCCACTCTGAAACGAGGTGTGTAGTAGAGAAGTTGGGACCTAGTCAATCCCATGCTAAGTGGTTAGAGTTGTTGCCTCATCAGGCATGTCTCAGTGGATGGCCAGGTGTTCAGGCTCTCCCTGCCCTGGGTGGCCAGGCTACTGTGCCTCCTCTGTCCCTGAGATGGTGGCATCACCAGGAGGCCTGGGCCTCAGACATGAGCTTCTGCAGCCTCTTGGTGTCCCCAGCCACTATGCCTCAGGCCTGTGTCCCAAGTTATGACCCGGTTGAACCTGGACCTATGGTGACAGCAACGTGGCAGTGCCCATTGCTGAGGGTCGGTGATATGCCACGTACTACCGTAGCGCTCTTCACACATTTTGTCGTTGAATTCACGAGGAACCCATGAGGCAGGAATCCCCCCTCCTTTTTACAAATGAGAGAACATGGTGGGTAACATAAGTCCCCTGTGAAGGTCAACCTGCAGAGTTACCTAGCTGCAGGCTCAGGCTGAGGCTCAGATCCAGGGCTGCCGGAGCCTGGCTCCCACTCCACCACCAGGACCTGGGGATCCTTGCAGGACTTTGGATTTTCTTCTTTTCCCACAATTACCTTTCTCTTTTTAAGATTCAGGAGGGGGAATGTGTGAATCACATAAGTTTATGTGTCTCATTTGCATGGTGTCTTAGCCTGGATCAGAGTCCACATCATATGGGCTCAGTACTGAGCACACAGTGGGTCCTCAACAGCTGTGTGCTGAATGATGATGGGCAGGTCATGGCACTAAAGGGAGTTGGCAGAGGCAATAGGACCCAGCTCAGCATGGACCTCGAATCTGGAACCACTGGCAAAATCAAGTCCTTGTGGCACTCTGGCAGGGGCAGACTTGGTCACGCCCGTGCTGGGCGTCCATGAGTCCTAGCTCATGCTAGCTCATGTCCTTGTGTGCTGAGGAGAGGTCTGGCCCTATATAAGCATTTTCTTTTTAGAGCTAGTCCCTAACCCTACTGCCCTTAGGTTAGCATGGGTTTTGGAGAGAGTAATCTGTGCACGTCCTTCAGTCCTGGGATGATGAGTCCGGC